GTTTCTAACTGTTTAAGTGTTGGGTAGCTGTTGCTTTTTTTGACAATATTATATTATCTAGTCTAGTTATGTTTGTGATTGCTTATCAAACAACATAGAAGAGTCCAAGATCAATTTTTATTTTACTGAAAAGTCATAAAATGTATTTTACAAAACATTGTAGTTTCTTTATTTCATCAAAGATTTACTTCCATGTAATATATTTGATATAATGTTAGGATCCTTATCTACCAGGTTTTGATCTTATCCCAGGCCATAGGCCTAGTATTATTGCTTCCAATTGTTGTTATATGTTTCTATCTTCCAAAGTTTCTTTAGAATGATTTTTGGGGGAAAATTGTATTTGGGAGAGAGAGTTTAACCGAAAGGTCCACTGACATAATTAATGTCGAAATATTGAATCTTGACACGATGGCATGCATTTTGATAATTGGAGTATGTATTATACTAAACTTAGAAAGTGTTTTTTTTTAGATGGAACATACAGTCCTAAAGTTAGGCTCTGAAGTATTTGACGAAAAACAGTTAGGAACAGTTAATGAGATAACCACCCGTTTTTCCAACTCTCCCCTTCTCCCTCTCTCCCCTTCCCCTTCTCCCTTCTCTCCTCCCTTCTCCCTTCCCCCTCCCTTCTCCCTTCCGCCTCTTTCCACCCTTTCCCCTTTCCCCACGTGATACAAAAAGGGATATTGTACAGTAGATTGAAACTGATTCCTCTTTAAATATTTCTAGTTAAAACGTACAAAATAATATGTAAAGAAAAAACACATTCAAGTATATTAAATGAAAGCAAAATGTGGTTAATTCTTGGGAAGCCTTTATCCATAATTGTATGTAGCTTATTCAGTATATCCTATTGTTTGGCGTATCACTACTAACCGGCAAGGACTTGTATTGCACTACTATGAACTTTTCAAGGTTGTTGCGTTTTGAATTTGAATCATCAATTCTTTAGTCTGTTGTATCGTTTCATCTTATCTCTTTGTTCTCGCTGAGCACTCTCAAATTAAATAGAGATGAGAGTACTGTCGTATAGGTTTTTTCTCTTTTAACATGACGGTTTTCTTGTTACTTTAGGTTGTAAAGTCATGGTAATAACATGTACAGTTGGACAGCTGTTTCCCACAGTTCAAAATGCTGAGAGCTGTACATTTATACGCATAGACAGTATTTAGAACGTATTCTAAATAAACTGCAGATGTGTAAGGCCAAAAACAGTAAAATATGTTTCTCGTTCTATTGCTCTATGTTTTATGGCCACTTCTAGTTTTTAATTTTTTTTTCTCATGTCAAAACACAGAAAATATACTGCAAAAATCCTTGCATCATAGCAGTGAATCAACAGATGCAATGATTATGTTTGTGAATGACTTATAATTTATAGGCCAGCACAATGGTGGCTCCAAAAGGTACTGCTGGAGTCCCAACAAGTCTGAGAGAGGGTCTGAACCAAATGGCTGCCTATGGTCTCTAGCTTTGGGGTAAAACTCCTGCTGGAGTGAAGTAATGTCCAACAATTAGGGGATCCATTTTTGTTTCTCTTCTAGCAACACCACTTACCTGAGATTGGCCAGTGTATGACCTGTCTCTTATACACATCTAGATGTGTATAAGAGACAGATTCTATTTCAGTATATCCTATTGTTTGGCGTATCACTACTAACCGGCAAGGACTTGTATTGCACTACTATGAACTTTTCAAGGTTGTTGCGTTTTGAATTTGAATCATCAATTCTTTAGTCTGTTGTATCGTTTCATCTTATCTCTTTGTTCTCGCTGAGCACTCTCAAATTAAATAGAGATGAGAGTACTGTCGTATAGGTTTTTTCTCTTTTAACTTGATGGTTTTCTTGTTACTTTGGGTTGTAGAGTCATGGCAATAACATGTACAGTTGGACAGCTGTTTCCCACAGTTCAAAATGCTCAGAGCTGTACATTTATATGCATAGACAGTATTTAGAACATATTCTAAATAAACTGCAGATGTGTAAGGCCAAAAACAGTAAAATATGTTTCTCGTTTTATTGCTCTATGTTTTATGGTCACTTCTAGTTTTTAATTTTTTTTCCTCATGTCAAAACACAGAAAATATACTGCAAAAATCCTTGCATCATAGCAGTGAATCAACAGATGCAATGATTATGTTTGTGAATGACTTACAATTTATAGGCCAGCACAATGGTGGCTCCAAAAGGTACTGCTGGAGTCCCAAGTCTGAGAGAGGGTCTGAACCAAATGGCTGCCAATGGTCTCTAGCTTTGGGGTAAAACTCCTGCTGGATTGAAGTAATGTCCAACAATTAGGGGATCCATTTTTGTTTCTCTTTTAGCGCCACTGAGATTGGCCAGTATATGATATTATGTGTTGTAAGTAGGCCATCTTTATAAGGAAAAATCCTTTATCCTTCTCTAACAAAATCTTCCTTGAGAAATGTTTTTAAAAATTTGGACCGACATGCATCGTAAATCGACTTTAGTTTAACTAGTCCGTTACTTGATTCAAGGAAGGTTTTTATGTACCCTCAACTTTGTTGTCATAATTCTTCAGATAATTTATTGCCAACAGAAAAAAATCTTGCAAGTTAAAATGATGTTATGTTTGAAGTGATAAAAAAATGTACAGCATAGTGTTAGTGATGAAAGATTAATTGTTTTTAAGTATTCAAACAGGCGATGCATCTTGGATAATATTAAATGTACAAATTTATCTCGATAAGAGCAATAAACCAATAAAAAAAGCTGCTTGAATGTTTATGTTTTAGCCAAAATGATATAGTCATATTTAATTAACATAAGACTGAAAGAAACAGTATGTTTTAAATTGTGCAATTAACATTTTACTGCCTTGTTTTACAATTAACCATCTTAAATATATCTTTTCAGTTGCTGTTGCTTGTCTTATTCCTATAAGTTTCTGACATTAAAGTTTTTATGTATCACAGATTCTTCTGTACTAGCAATTACATGCAATTGGATATTATGGTTGTTTATAGTAGTTATTTCTGGTATAAGCAAAAGAGAGATTGATAGGTACTGGGGTGGCCACCCACTCAAAAATTTACTCCTTATTGACAAATGGATTTGACTGCGACTTACCTGTGCATTGTTGCCTATTCCTTTGTTGAAACACTGTGTTTTGTTCCAGGGATTTACCTGGTATAAAGCATTTAAAGTCATGATAGAGAATATGGTAAGCAATGAGGTACTTTGTGGACTTTGTTTGGCTGGCCTAGTCATTTATAATTTATGTGCACCCTTTGTACTGTTAAGCACATTTGTGTGAATGGGTCTAGAAATGTATTTCTATTAAAGTGAAAGAAATTGAAGTTATTTTATTTGTAAGAAAAAATGATATCGACTAATATATAGACCAGGGGTGGGCATAAAAATCGGTTGAAGGGCGAAATTTAATTTTTGATTTAACATCAAGGGCCGCATCCAAAACTTTGATGTTTACAGTGTGCTTCCAAAAACCTTCATTCACTGCTTTTATACTACTTTTTTCTCATTACTTTTTATAGATAATCGGTGTTGGGCCGTAAAAAACAAGGTGTTTTCTAATGTTTGGCGGGCCACGTACATATAGTTTTTAAAATCACTGTCGGGCCGTACACCTGTGGTATAGACCTATAATTGTACAGCTGACATAAATAAATTTATAAATTGAATTAATAGCTACAACTTTAATTCATGTGTAAAAAAAATATTAATGTAAAATTATTTAAAAGAAAATGTATATAGAAAATGCATCTGAAAATACAGGTGATATAATTTTGAATATGGTATGTGGGATGTTCTATATTTATAAACAAACACAGCAAGAATACATTCTTTGAATATTTCACCTAATGTAAAGTTAGCCTCATTGGACCTTCTGCTAAACCCTGCTCCTTGGATATGGTTGCTAAAGGCCCCACAAAATGACTACCTGTACATAAACACATGTAAACACGAGTTTTTGTGATACAACACATGTGTTTGGGGGACAAACATTTATCTGGATGTGGACAGGTTGATATGTGCACATGTAATGGAGCTTATTATTATTAGTCCTGTAGATTTCTTGTCTTTTAAAGATTTTTTCGTATCCTTTGCCCAGTGTTGAATGGCCAGTTGTTGGTTGATGTGTGCGCATGTAATTGAGCTTAAAACCCTGTCAATTTCTTTTCTCTTGAAGATTCATATTCTTCACCTGGTCTTGAATGGCCAGTTTGTTAAGTTTGATGGACACTACAAATGGGTTCATGACTTTTACTTCAGTGTCATTTATTAACTATCTTATATTATTTTGTCTCAAATAAATGATTATGTGATATTAATATTGTCATCAATGTGCATATTTTTGAACAATATTCTTCATATTTTGCATTATATTTTGTATCCTGGTTGGTGAATCTAGTATTATAGTGATATTAATATTATGTTTATTATGGTATGATAATATTATTAGCACTTGTACTTGGTAATTGGCATGCATGTTAGGACACATCTATCTGACCATTTAATTTCAGTTGACAGCATTTTTTTATGTTATTAAATGTTATTAGTTATTGTTCTTATTTTTACTGTAGTGCTGTAATACTATTAATAATATTTATTCGCATGCTTGTCTATGGTTCTACTGGTGGAACAAGTCTTTTCGGATAAGAAATATAAACCGTAGCCCTAGCGTACACAATTTGTCTCATGTGAACCCATTACATCTTTCGAGATGAGTAGGGGGTTACCCCGGTGTACTGGTCCATACATCCCATGTTGTGGACAGACAAGAGTAGGTGGTACCGGTTTACCTGGTAGTTCAGACATGAAGAGACCCTCAGGGGAGAAGCAAGCTACTGTACTAGCTAATCCACACCTCAAAGTGGTTTGAGACTTAAGTATAGAGCGCTATATAAATCTAACTATATTACGTTGTATTCTGTTCATTTCAGTTAGTTTTTTATTAATGTGTTTGTTTTAATGTATTGAAACGCGTTGGTTTTATTTTTTTCTTACAGATTTGGTATCAATATTGAAGATGGAGGTACCTGGGATGGTTTTGAAACTCCTCATCACATTAATTGTGATCACAAGTTCACCGACCCTTGCAAATTATTACAATAAATATAAAGATCCAACTGGAAACTTTTCAACAGTGTTATTTGATGTGGATGGTAATAATATATTAATAGGTGGTTTGAACAAAGTGTATAAACTTAATAGTGATTTAGAGTTGTTAGTACAAGGATCCATAGGACCAAAGATGGACCATCCTGATTGCCAGGCCCCACCACCAGCTGATTGTGCCCAAGAAAGAACCATAAGGAATAATTCAAACAAACTTCTCCAACTATATGGTGATAAAATAATTTCATGTGGAACTGTTTATCAAGGCAGTTGCGAGTTTTTGTATCGCTCAAATTTGACATCGATTGCGCAGGAACTCGTGCCCGTAATAAACACTGAAGGCAAAAGTGTATCAATTGTTTCTTTAGATGCTGAACCAAAGTTGTTTATTGGAACATCACCGGTAAGTGAGCCTGACTTACCAGCATATGCCATTCGCTCTCCTTTGAATTTTGAGGTACACAAAGAACAATCCGTAACAAAGGCTCAGAAGAAGGCAACTGATAATGCAATAAGAGATGGATTTGTAATTGATTTTATCCATGCTTTTGTAAGCAACAAAATCAACTACTTTGTCATGGTGTATGATGAGAAATATGGTGAAACTACGCACAAATATCAAACATACATTGCGCACCACTGTCAATCTGACCCATCTTATCTTTCGTATATTGAGCTACCATTAGTGTGCCGCCACAATGGACAGAGTTACACACTAGCCCAGTCAGCTTATCTTGCTAAAAGAGTTCCATCACAACCAAATTCATCTGAGCTTGTACTCGTCGTAACATTCGGAATGTCTGAGAATGCGGCAAGCTTAATACCAGAAAGAAAATCGGCAGTTTGTATGTACTCTCTGACGGACACAATTGAGTATTCATTTCTAGAGGCATATAAAGCTTGTGCTCGAGGGAATACCACGTTTAAAACAATCAAGTGGGCAGGTCATAATCAAAACACGTGCACTAACAATCCACATTGGGTAAGTTTTTTTTTAAAGATTTTTATAGTCAAGAATAGTCAGGTACAGTAGAACCTTTATTACATATTATTATTTTTTTATTATTAAGGGGACACCTTTCATACCTACCAAGTCTCCCGCATTTGGCGGGAGACTCCCGCTTTTCGCCCTAACCTCCAGCTCTCCCGCCACTAGCCTAAAATCTCCAGCTTTTCTAATAATCTCAAGATTTTTTATTAAAACCCACAATTTAATACAAAAATATCCAAAACGTGACAATTCTGTAGTTTTATAAGGCATATAAAATCTACGAAAGTTCCATCGCTTCGCGAAAATACATGCCGTTCCGATAGTATACCAGACCATCATTTTTAAGGCTGTCTCTTATACACATCTAGATGTGTATAAGAGACAGTGGTAACTCCATTGATAGCGCAGGAAATCGTGCCCGTAATAAACACTGAGAGCAAAAGTGCATCAATTGTTTCTTTAGATGCTGAACCAAAGTTGTTTATTGGAACATCACCGGTAAGTGAGCCTGACTTACCAGCATATGCCGTTCGCTCTCCTTTGAATTTTGAGGTATACAAAAAACAATCAGTAACAAAGGCTCAGAAGAAGGCAACTGATAATGCAATAAGAGATGGATTTGTAATTGATTTTATCCATGCTTTTGTAAGCAACAAAATCAACTACTTTGTCATGGTGTATGATGAGAAATATGGTGAAACTACGCACAAATATCAAACGTACATTGCGCACCACTGTCAATCTGACCTATCTTATCTTTCGTATATTGAGCTACCATTAGTGTGCCGCCACAATGGACAGAGTTACACGCTAGCTCAGTCAGCTTATCTCGCTAAAAGAGTTCCATCAGAACCAAATTCATCGGAGCTTGAACTCGTTGTAACATTCGGAATGTCTGAGAATGCGGCAAGCTTAATACCAGAAAGAAAATCAGCAGTTTGTATGTACTCTCTGACGGACACAATTGAGTATTCGTTTCTAGAGGCATATAAAGCTTGTGCTCGAGGGAATACCACGTTTAAAACAATCAAGTGGGCAGGTCATAATCAAAACACGTGCACTGACAATTCACGTTGGGTAAGTGTTTTTTAAAGATTTTTATAGTCAAGAATAGTCAGGTACAGTAGAACCCTTATTAAGGGGACACCTTTGTGACTAAAAAAGGGACTCTAACTAAAAATATATAATTGTCCCCTTAATAGGGTTTTTGGCATGTTTTCATACAATTTTGTTTTTATTGACATAAGAATCAATTACAGTAGAATTAGATCTAACTTATAGCAGTAATTTGTAATGCAGATGTAATTCATTTATAATGTGAAATCAGAAGAAATGTAATTAAACAACAATAGTTTTATATGTTCCCAATATTATTTCATGATTCAATATTAATGACCAATTTTTTTTTTAAATGTTGAGTTTTCTAATGGATGGATGTAGCATGAATAGAGAACGGATTAGAATTAAGGGTGCATATTATGGTATGGACTAGAAATTGCAAATTGCAAGTGAAGTGCTGCGAAGTACAACTGCATATAAATGTTCTTCGAACAAAATTATTTATGCGAGTCAAGTGAAAATAATGAATAATAAAAATATAACAAATAATATGAGACACGACCCATTGTCTATATTAGAACACTTATCATTGGGTAACAAAGTCGTAATTTTTCATTTTTGTCAAAAAGTGTCTACAGTGTAGTGGTGAATTATGGTTTAGGTTTTTTTTTAATAGAGTTTCAAAAATTTCTATGTATGTGGAAAATGTAGTTGATTACCAAAGGTTACAATTTTTATTTTGAAGACTGCATGGTCTAGGAAGTGTACATTTTTTTATGGGGAAAGTTTCCAAGGGCGGGTTTTTTAGGGATGAGTTGACTGCCAAAGAGTGTTGCCAAAGTGCAAGCCAGCGTGTTATTTGATCACAAGTGCGAGACATCCCAAGTGTGAGCCAGCGAGCCATGACGTCACGACAATACAGACATTACTCGAGTTGTGCGAGGTATCGGCTGAGATTTGTGGAGTACAATTCAAAAAACAACTATAGGTCTAATAATGAATTATTGTGATGTTAAATAGACAATATTAGCTATCAAGGAGCGACGTTGTTTTTTCA